AATCAACCAGAAGCTGGCTGCAGTAAGTCATCCTCAGGCTAACGGACAAGCAGAAATCACAAACAGAACCATTTTCGCCTGCATTAAGAAGAAGCTGGAAGATCACAAGGGGAAGTGGTTGGATGAACTCCCGAACGTTCTATGGGCTTACAGAACCACCCCAAGGCGGCCGACTGGGGAGAGCCCGTTCGCAATGGCGTATGGTACCGAAGCAGTTATACCGGTTGAGCATTTAGTCCCCACTATCAGAAGCTTAGCATGGAGTCGAGATCAGAACGACAAGATGTTAAGACTGAACCTCGATATGATAGACGAAAGGAGGGACGCAGCGGCTATAAGGCTAGCATCGTATCAGCAAGTGCTGGCGAATAGTCACAATAAGAGAGTAAAACACAGGGATTTTGCCCCAGGCGATCTGGTTCTGAAAAGAAAGGTGGGGATGGTCAAAAAAATGATGCCACCCTGGGAAGGCCCATACAGAATTGCAGAAGTCATTGGCAAAGGGGCATATACGTTGGAAACCATGGCGGGAAAGTTGGTCAGCAAGCCCTGGAACGCCACGTCTCTGAAGAGGTACTACCAATAGAGGCTAAGTTCTGGCTTTAATTGGATGTTATTTGTTGTCAATCAAATACGTATGAATGAGCAAGTTACTGGAATTTACAAAAAAAAAAGAATTTTCTTTTCCAATGGTCTACTATAAAAATTCAAAGCCAAGTGGCAAGTGGCATTCTAGCCGAGCGCCAGGCACTTAAGCAAGATAAGTGGCAGCTGGCACTATAAGCCGAACGCCAGACACTTGCTAAAAATTTAAAGCCGAGTGGCAAGTGGCATTCTAGCCGAGCGCCAGGCACTTGAGCAAGACAAGTGGCAGCTGGCACAATAAGCCGAACGCCAGACACTTGCTAAAAATTTAAAGCCAAGTGGCAAGTGGCATTCTAGCCGAGCGCCAGGCACTTAAGCAAGATAAGTGGCAGCTGGCACTATAAGCCGAACGCCAGACACTTGCTAAAAATTTAAAGCCGAGTGGCAAGTGGCATTCTAGCCGAGCGCCAGGCACTTGAGCAAGACAAGTGGCAGCTGGCACAATAAGCCGAACGCCAGACACTTGCTAAAAATTTAAAGCCAAGTGGCAAGTGGCATTCTAGCCGAGCGCCAGGCACTTAAGCAAGGTAAGTGGCAGCTGGCACTATAAGCCGAACGCCAGACACTTGCTAAAAATTTAAAGCCAAGTGGCAAGTGGCATTCTAGCCGAGCGCCAGGCACTTAAGCAAGATAAGTGGCAGCTGGCACTATAAGCCGAACGCCAGACACTTGCTAAAAATTTAAAGCCAAGTGGCAAGTGGCATTCTAGCCGAGCGCCAGGCACTTAAGCAAGATAAGTGGCAGCTGGCACTATAAGCCGAACGCCAGACACTTGCTAAAAATTTAAAGCCAAGTGGCAAGTGGCATTCTAGCCGAGCGCCAGGCACTTAAGCAAGATAAGTGGCAGCTGGCACTATAAGCCGAACGCCAGACACTTGCTAAAAATTTAAAGCCAAGTGGCAAGTGGCATTCTAGCCGAGCGCCAGGCACTTAAGCAAGATAAGTGGCAGCTGGCACTATAAGCCGAACGCCAGACACTTGCTAAAAATTTAAAGCCAAGTGGCAAGTGGCATTCTAGCCGAGCGCCAGGCACTTGCCGTACAAACACACAGCGAAGCTAATATAAAAAGAAAAAGAGAGAAAAGATATGTATATACTGAAGATAAGTTGAACAGAGCACAACACATAGAGAAAAAGAGTTCGGCCATTTCATTAATATTGAACATTTAGTTTACAAAAGAGAGATGTCCATCATTACAAGAAGATATGAACTAGAAGAATTCGAAGGAGCCCTAGCTAGACGCCTCAGTACCAACAGCATCTTGGTCTTGCCGACTCGCCTCCTCAGCCCCATCAGCCGCCTCACCTTCATGAGGTGGGGAATCCAGGTGAATAACTGAGTCGTTCGGCTGGGGTTCAGCGTCAGCAGTGGCTACAGAGGGAGCCACGGTCGACGATTGGGGAGCGGTCAGTGGCAGAGCGGCAGGAGGAGCTGTGATGATCCTTGAGGATGCGATGTCCTGGCACTCATCAAATATACGTTCCGCTTCGGTAGGTTCTGGGTCGACATAGACCCCCAAAGGTTCGATCCCCAGATCCTTGTCTACCTCATCCGGAGTGGAGCTGGTCTGTCCCTCATCCGGAACCCGGTCGGCGAAACCTTCCCGGAATCCTTGAGCATACCGAAGAGCACCGACCCTGGAGAACCGAGCGTGAAGGGCCAGCATCCCACCACCCACTCTGCTGATAGCGTCGATCAGAGCGGTACGCTCGTCCAGAGCTCTTTTTTCAAAAGCCATCCGAGCAGACTGTTCATCAGCTAGAAGGCGTTGGAGTTCTGCCTTCTCTTCTCTGAGTGATTCCTGCTCAGTCTGCCAGACGCTCTTCTCAAGCTGGAGGGCGTCCTTCTCATCCTGAAGGGAATCATTCTCCTTTTTCAGGACATCTCTCTCTTGCTCGGCTTTGTCAAGCCGAACCAGCACCTCGGTATTCTTCATGGCAAGGAGGTCGTTTTCTTTATTAGCCACCTCCAGGCTGTCAGAATACTTTCGGGCCCTGGCGTTCCCCATCTCCACCTGCTTCTGCATGGCCATCATCCCGAACAATGTCTGCATAGGCGCACAATAAGAACAGTTAAACCAATAGTCAGAACGGGCGAAGGCAAGACCAAGTAATATAAGAGAATTCATGAGTTAGAAAATAAAAGTCACCTCCATAGCAGATTGGGGGAAGCGACTGAACACGTCCTTCTGGGAAAGGCCCTTTGCCGCCTCAATGTCCTTCGGAGTCCACATGCTCCTGTAGTAGGCCATAGCGGTCTGGCCATCCTTCAGCATGGTCTCGTTCGGTTTCACGAACGTCCCATCCGTTCGGGTGTACCGAGGGGCCCATGGCGGTAAGCTGGGGATAGAAGGGGGGCCTGAAGCAGAAGCAGAGCCACCAGCTGCAGGAGGCCCAGAGGGAGAAGGAGCTCTGATCGCTCGGTGCAAGAGAGTACCCGGCCCAGAGACTCGGGTCCTTCTAATAAGAGGCTCCTCCTCAGGATCGATTTCACTGTCAGGATGAGGCCTTTTGCCTCGCTCTTTGTCCCGACCGCCCCCCGCAGCAGCAGGAGCTATGGTAGCTGGGGAGGGCGCATTCTGGTTGGCTGCAGGGGCGCTGGCAACAGGGTTAGTGGCCACTGCGCTCGGGACAGTGTCAGATATGGTGGCTGAAGAAGAAGCCGACGCTGGAGAGGAGGTCGCCCCAGCAGCAGGAGTGGCTGGGGGAGTATTTTTCCTCCTGCCAAAAGAGGGAATCTGCAGTCTGCTCATATTGTAGCCGAGTGATGAGAGCGCAAAGAGGTTGTCTGAAGTGAGGAGATCTGAGCAGGAAGGAATATCGTTCAGAACGTATCTCTTCAAGTAGTTACTCCTATCCCTGCAAACACTATAGCTCAAATCGTCACAAGGTATTCCCAAGGAGCGGCATAAGTAAGTGCAAAAACGAGGAACGCATGTTTCACAGGGGCAGTCATGTTAATGGGATTTGAATTTTTTATAGGAGGAGACAGAGCAGACACCAAAGGCGCTCGGGATTGGGTAATCCTCTGCAGCCGGCGAAGACCAAGCCCCACTAATGCCCACTATGCTATCCCTCCAACCCTTTTCAGATTTTATTGTGTCAGTGCATATGGACATCTTCTCGAACGGGTAGAGGTGGTAGAAGGGCTCGTTAGTACGGATCTTACTGACCTTATAGCACAGAAGGAGGTCTATGAGGTCAAGGTCCAGATTTCTGTCACGCATCAATAAGAGCATAACAGATATGATCCTAAAGAAGTTGGGGTTGACCTGCAGAGGGGATATCCCCAATCTATTGAAGACATAACTAAAGAAAGGGTGCAGAGGGAACCTAACAACATTCAGTTGAAGGTTCGTGAATAAGACTTCGCCGGGCAGGAGGCCGGCGCCGGTCGTAATATTAACGTCTTGGGGGCAAACCCTAACTTCAATGTTGTCAGGAAGTCTAAGTCTCATACGAAGAACACCCAGATCTACAACCATGGTGGAAGTGCTAGAAGAATCTAAAAGAGGGAAAATGGAAGCCTGCCGAAAGTAAAAAGAACGAAACTAACCTCGGAGGACTGCAAGATCGCTGGGAGAATGACTCTCGAAGGATTTCACCGGAAAAGGCTTAGCACAGTTCTAGAAAGAGGGAGATTTGACTGATGATGGAGACGGTAAAGGGAAGTGAAGTGGAATTCTAGAGCATTATAAAGGCAAGGGGGCCCGAGGGCCGAAGCGTCGGGAAGGCAAGAAATCCCTCGAGCCCCGGAACATTGATTCTGGATCTGACCGTTCGCTCCCCACGTGGTTATCTCGAGCCGTCAGCGTCATGATGAGACGCCATCAATAATTACCCCTTATTAAATAAGGGGCAATTATGGGGGCAGTTGAGGAGGCCCCGGATGACATGGGCTAGGTCCGACTCGCAAAACACAACCTTCAGTCCGAACAGCTGGGTCAGCCCATAGAAAGACACTGCCATATGGGCCGAGCGGGAGTAAGCCCATCAAGGGTGACCAGGGCTTACAGAGGAATAGGCCCAGGTCCAGCAATTAGTAAATATCTTGTAAATATCTTGTAAGTGTCTATAAATAGGAGTTGGAATGAAGAGGAGAGGGATCTTTACGGGTTGAGGTGTAAGAATTCTAGAGAGAGAAAGAATAGAAGGAATTTCTTGCATCTTCATATATATATATATAAATAAATAAATAAAAGGTGGGTAGGTAATAGATGGGTACATCAAGTATGATGCTGCTGCGATCCATATACATTAATAATAATAAATAAAAGTGGTTTTACGTCCAATTTGCCTGTTACAAGATGAAGATATAGCTGGCATTTATTGTCTGTGTCGGAAAATCTCCTCTTTTGACTACTATCTCTCTCAACTACCCTCCCCTCTCTCTTTCCTCCCTCTCTATCTTTTGTTTGTTACAGGTGGTAGGTGGTAGAGGGAAGCGGCGTGGGTTGTTTGTTTCGCACTCACATTGCAGGAGAGAGGGGACTCATCTTATGCTTGCTCTCTACGCAAAAGAAACTTCATCAAATTCTTGTCAAACCAGTAAACGACAAACACTCATCTATACATATATATATATATATATATATTGCAGTTTTTGTTCATAACTTCCTTCGTATAACTACTGATCATACAAACACAGAGAGAGTTAAAAAGGAGTCCGATACGTTGAGAGCCCAGATCCCCGAAAAGAAGGGGTCCTTTTAGCCTGTAGCCCACCCTTTTTTTATTTTAATATCAGAGCTTTGTAAGTAGCTTTAATGAATCTTCTTCTGCTTTCCCTTTTTTTTCTTTTTTTCTTTTTTTCACTGTTTTGTTTTTTTGGATTGGTTCATTATAGGGGTTGCGTACAATTTCTTTTTCATTTCTTATGTTTCTGATACATCATCAGCAAAATTGTTTTGTTTTTTCAAATTCAACCTGGAAAACAAAAGGGAAAGAAATGACACCACCCACCCCCTCTATTCCTCCTCTCTCTCTCTCTCACATACTGTGATTCACAAGAGATCTCTGTTTTTATAGATATGCAGTTGACTTTGATAGATTTTTAAAGCATATGAGATCTTAAATCATTAATGCGAAGTATTCAATTCTTCTTGAATGTATATAGCTAGAATCTTGAATTATTATTATTATTATTTTTTCTCTGGATAAAATGACAACTATAATAATGGTTAGATGATATGATATAGCTAGTTTCTTTGATTATATATTTTTTAATTTTATCTCGAACAAGTAATAAATTGGTTGATCTTAATTGATTTAGTTTTTCAAAGGTTGGTTTTATTTTCAAAGCAAGTCTCTTTTGGGGAAAAATTGAAAAAAACTAACTAAAATCCATATTTTGTTTGCTTCAATCTTTGTGGAAAGAGACTCAGTTTTCTTGAGTCTAAACAAGGGTAATAATGGAGTTGGTAGTTTGTTTTTTGTCACCATCAAAGAGGTTACATGTCTCTTTCATCTGAAAATAAAAGGGGTTCTAGAAATTCAAATCAAGAATGGAAATTTAGCTGCCGGCAACCATGTGTCATGTTTTGTTTAATCTTTAAAGTTTGAACTACTTCTCATGGATTTAAAATCTCCAATTGCCTTTAGCCTTAATTATTACTGCCACTTTAATTTGACTCTCATCTTCTGCCAATTTCGTGCTTACATATATATATATATATATATATATATATATGCTGATATTTTGCCATCAATCTTCCAACTACAGTTGAAGGTCAGACTTGAATATCAGCGGTGGTGGTGCTATGGCTGAGGAGAACGGGTTGGATGGAAATAAAAAAATGGAGGAGGGTTCCACATCAAAAAGTCATGCACTGGAAATGGAAGCAGAAAAAAGTAGTGTCAAGAAAGGGGGTGAACATGATTCGGCAAGCAAGAAAGAAGAGGAAACCAAAACAGTTCCATTTTTCAAGCTGTTCGCATTTGCAGATTCCACAGATAAACTGTTGATGATTATTGGAACAATTGGTGCCATTGGTAACGGGATATGCTTGCCCCTTATGACAGTTCTTTTCGGGGAGATGATTGATTCTTTTGGAGGAAACCAGAATAACGTAGACATAGTCAGTGTGGTTTCTAAGGTGAGAAATTGGTGCATAAGATTTGAATCTGTGTAATTTATTTTCATATTTAAGTTTGAATTGGTTGACAATTTATCTTAATTTCAGTCTAATGCCACTAGTAGTCAATCAATTTAGAAACATCCTTGTTGTTTCTGTTCTCTTCTCTTGTGATATTTGCATATGTGGAAGTAAAAATGTTACTAATTAGTTACCTGATTGCAACTTAGGTATCACTGAAATTTGTGTATTTGGCTATGGGGGCCGGTGTAGCAGCATTCCTCCGTAAGTACTGCATCGATCTCACCTAAATTTAGAAAAAAACGAAACATTTTATGCAAAGTTAAATGTTTAAACTATTGCCATTCGCATTAAAAAAAAAAACAAGTGCTTTCTGTTTGTTAGAGGTGGCTTGCTGGATGGTCACGGGTGAGAGACAGGCGGCACGGATAAGGAGTCTGTATTTGAAAACTATATTGAGACAAGATGTGGCTTTTTTTGACAAGGAAACAAATACTGGAGAAGTCGTTGGGAGGATGTCCGGTGATACTGTTCTCATACAAGATGCTATGGGTGAGAAGGTATTGTTGCTAAGACTACTACAAATACTACCAATCCCCTTCCCCGGTGGAACTCACAATTTACTTACACATACATTCCTATGATTAGGACTGCTTTTTTTAAAAATGTAGCACCATACATTTCTTTGCTGCAGGTTGGGAAATTTGTACAGCTAGTGTCGACATTTTTGGGAGGCTTTGTCGTAGCATTTATCAAAGGGTGGCTTCTCACGCTTGTCATGTTATCCTCTATTCCTCTACTTGTGATATCTGGTGGAACCATGTCTCTTATTATATCCAAGATGGCATCCCGTGGACAAAATTCTTATGCAAAAGCAGCAACTATTGTTGAACAGACGATTGGCTCAATTAGAACTGTATGCCACTAATCCAGAATCAAATTTATGCGTGTGGATTAATGCATTTCAGTTTTTCAATATATTTCTATTTTGTGAAACTATGGTAACCAATTAGTTCTTATCTAGGTTGCATCGTTTACTGGCGAGAAGCAAGCTGTAAGTAATTACAACAAATCTCTTGTAAATGCTTACAAGTCAGGTGTTAACGAAGGATTGGCTGCCGGAGTAGGTCTTGGATCAGTTATGTTGATTGTGTTTTCCAGTTACGCTTTAGCAGTATGGTTTGGTGCAAAGATGATATTGGAAAAAGGATATACTGGGGGTGAAGTGATCAATGTAATTGTTGCTGTGTTGACTGGTTCCATGTGAGTGTTATCTCTCTTTTTTTTTTTTTTTTTTTTGGTAGCAGTTAATATGCATCCTAATCTAGTAATCAGTTTATATTTCTATTGTACACCACAAGTGGAAAACACCTTCTGTTTATGTTTTTATTCAGCTTTGGAAGGAATTGATCATATTATTTGTAATTTTTTTTTTTTAAATCTGGCATTGGCTTCTTCAGGTCGCTAGGGCAGGCATCTCCTTGCATGAGTGCATTTGCTGCTGGCCGAGCTGCAGCATTCAAAATGTTTGAGACTATAAATAGGAGGCCAGAAATAGATGCGTATGACCCCAAAGGAAAGATATTGGATGACATTCGTGGAGACGTCGAGTTAAGGGATGTCCATTTTAGTTATCCAGCCAGACCGGATGAGCAAATATTTAGTGGATTCTCTCTTTCCATCGCTAGCGGCACAACTGTAGCTTTGGTGGGACAAAGTGGAAGTGGGAAGTCAACAGTGATCAGTCTAATAGAGAGATTTTATGATCCACACGCTGGTGAAGTTCTTATTGATGGGATAAATCTAAAAGAATTCCAGCTTAAATGGATTAGGGAGAAAATCGGTCTTGTCAGCCAAGAACCTGTGCTCTTTGCATCCAGCATTAAGGATAATATTGCATACGGGAAGGATGGTTCAACTATTGAAGAGATCAAAGTAGCGGCTGAACTAGCTAATGCTGCTAAATTCATTGATAAACTGCCGCAGGTTCTAATTATTGTCCCTTTTGCTACTTCTTCTGTATTTTCTTTAGTTAATGATCATTTGAATTGTCTATTTACTTTTATATTTTAAATTTGCATTCAGGGACTGGACACCATGGTTGGTGAGCATGGAACACAGCTGTCAGGTGGACAGAAACAACGAGTTGCAATAGCCAGAGCAATTCTGAAAAACCCACGTATTCTACTTCTAGATGAAGCAACAAGTGCACTTGATGCAGAGTCTGAGAGGATTGTGCAAGAGGCATTGGACAGAATTATGGTTAACAGAACAACTGTCATTGTTGCCCATCGTCTGAGCACAGTGAGGAATGCCGATATGATTGCAGTGATTCATCGAGGAAAGATGGTTGAAAAAGGTATTCTACAAATAACTTTGATAATTAGTTAACTCATTCAGATGTAGAGCAATCATCATGGTTGCATCTCACCTCATGGTATGTTCTTTTATGGAGCCTTTTTGGGCAAAATGTGACAATTTTATAACATTTGAGTAAATTTAAAGTAATTTCAATGAATAATTTATGCCTTTTTGTACTACGATCGAGATTATTCATGAGCTCTTCCTAACATTCTCAATTATTATTTTTAGGAAATTTTCTAAGTCAATTCTTGAATCCCAACTATTTTGATATATATATATATATATATCAATTCACCATAGTTGGATGGAGAGGGAAATACATGTTATTTAATACTTGTTAATTGATCAGGTTCACATTCAGAACTTCTCAAGGATCCTGATGGCGCGTACTCTCAGCTTATACGATTGCAAGAAGTTAATAAAGTTTCAGAACAACAAGGCCCAATTGACCAAGACAAATCAGAAATTACTTCGGAATCTGTTAGACATTCAAATCAACGAATGTCATTTCCACGATCAATCAGTCGAGGATCATCTGGAGCAGGAAATAGCAGCCGCCATTCATTCTCAGTCTCATTTGGTCTACCAACAGGACTAAATGTCCCTGAAACTGCATTGGCAGAACCTGAAGATCCTCTACCAAAACCATCAGAAAAGCCTCCAGAAGTCCCACTTCGTCGCCTTGCCTATCTCAACAAGCCAGAGGTTCCGGTGCTGATAGTGGGAACCATATCTGCAATCATCAATGGTGCAATTCTTCCAATTTTTGGTATACTAATTTCTAGTGTGATCAAAACATTTTATGAGCCACCACATGAACTAAGAAAGGATTCAAAATTTTGGGCAATAATGTTTTTAGTCCTTGGATTGATATCTTTTCTGGCATATCCAGCACGGACATACTTTTTTTCCGTGGCTGGGTGTCAACTAATAAGACGTATCAGATCAATGTGCTTTGAGAAGGTGATTCGTATGGAGGTCAGTTGGTTTGATGAGCCCGAGCACTCAAGTGGAGCAATTGGTTCAAGGCTCTCTGCAGATGCAGCTACTGTGCGCGGTTTGGTTGGAGATGCACTTGCTCAGGCTGTTCAGGATCTTGCATCAGCAGCTGCAGGTTTGGGCATTGCTTTTCAAGCAAGTTGGCAGTTGGCACTTATTATCCTTGCTTTGCTACCACTAATAGGAGTTAACGGATATGTCCAAGTGAAGTTCATGAAAGGGTTTAGCGCAGATGCCAAGGTTTGCTTTCAAACTTATGATTTTACACATTATGTTTGCAACATGTTAAAAAGCTTTCTGATTTGTAGAATGCAGAGAACATAATTATAATTTGGATATCCAAAATTTGAAGTTTCTGTCTATAAATAACCAATAAATTATCTATCTTGCATATTCGAGGCAGTCTTTTTAAAAATTTCTGTTTCATTTGACCAAGGATCTGTTTATGTATAATTTTTTTAAACCCTTTTGTGTTCCATCAAGATTTTAAATCTAAAAACGGTTTGCAGATGATGTATGAGGAAGCTAGCCAAGTTGCTAATGATGCAGTCGGGAGTATTAGAACAGTTGCCTCTTTCTGCGCGGAAGAGAAAGTGATGCAACTGTACAAAAAGAAATGTGATGGCCCTATGAAGACAGGGATAAGGCAAGGGTTGATTAGTGGGGCTGGTTTTGGGATATCTTTCGCGTTACTATTTTGTGTCTATGCAACAAGTTTTTATGCAGGAGCCCGGCTTGTTGAAGATGGAAAAATAACTTTCTCAGATGTTTTCCGGGTTAGTACATTTCATGTTTCTCCATAAGTTTGGTGAAGTGTTTTTTTTTATCAAAAGTGTGTCGCAAATACAAATGTTCTAAAGAACTGGTTCAGTAATTCTGATATATATATATATATATATGATTGGCCTTGCAGGTTTTCTTTGCTCTGACCATGGCGGCTGTTGCTATTTCTCAATCAAGCTCCTTTGCCCCTGATTCCAGCAAAGCCAAGTCTGCTACTGCTTCAATATTCGCCATTCTAGACAGGAAATCCAAGATAGACCCAAGTGATGAGTCCGGGACAACATTAGAGAACGTGAAGGGAGAAATTGAGCTTCGGCATATAAGCTTTACCTACCCCACTAGACCAGATATTCAGATTTTCCGAGACCTCAGCTTGTCTATTCGTAGTGGCAAGGTAATTAATGTTTAATCATCATCTCATCTTTTAAAAGAAAAAACTGCTATCTTTTGTCAGCAAAAAAAAAAAAAAAAAAAAAAAAAAAAATTATTAATATGGTATCGGTATCTCCATCTTGCAGACGGTGGCACTGGTTGGAGAAAGTGGAAGCGGGAAATCAACAGTGATCTCATTATTGCAAAGATTCTACGATCCTGATTCAGGTTGTATCACACTCGATGGAGTTGAGATTCAGACACTGCAGTTGAAGTGGTTGAGGCTGCAGATGGGGCTTGTGAGCCAAGAACCAGTCCTGTTTAATGACACTATAAGAGCTAACATTGCGTATGGAAAGGAAGGAAATGCAACAGAGGCAGAAATTCTAGCTGCATCAGAGAAGGCAAATGCCCACAAATTTATCAGTGGCTTACAACAGGTAACCATTTTGGTATCTTATAACATTCCATAATTCATCGTCAGAATATTAATTAGATGGATTTTATTAAAAAGTAATGTAAGCCAATAAATAGGGTATTTTTGAGAAAAATCTTTTCATTCCAGATTTAATGATAGGTAACCAAACAACAGAATGGTAATAATTATTTCATTTCATAACGATTTACCGTGTCATTCCACATTTTCATTCCATTCCAAGTTGCATTCTATTCCTTTCATGCACACCAAACGTAGCGTCAAATGAACACTAAGTAGTTAAGACATGAAAATGTAGGTGCCCAGCCCAACCCTATCTTTATATGTTCCAAATTATGTTAAATGCAGGGATATGACACAACAGTAGGCGAGCGAGGAGTGCAATTGTCTGGCGGGCAGAAGCAGCGGGTGGCCATTGCACGAGCGATAGTGAAAAGTCCGAAGATACTACTATTGGATGAGGCCACTAGTGCACTGGATGCCGAGTCGGAGAGAGTGGTTCAAGATGCACTGGACCGAGTGATGGTGAACCGCACCACGGTGGTAGTGGCTCATCGGTTGTCCACAATCAAGAATGCAGATGTAATTGCGGTTGTTAAAAATGGAGTCATTGTGGAGAAAGGGAAACACGAAACTCTCATCAACATCAAAGATGGCGTTTATGCCTCCTTAGTAGCTCTTCACATGACTGCTTCATCTTAGTTACCTATGTCTTACTTTGTTTTTGTGCTTTCTTTATACCTTACAATTTTTTGTTTTGTGAAAAGTCGTGGTTATGATATATATCCACGGGATGAATAAACAGCCAAAAAGTGGTTACTAAGCTCGTGTGTAGTTATTTTATTTTTATCTTAACGACAAACACACTTGCATATCTTACATTGTTATTTTATGAAAATTACTACATTATGTGACAATTTTCACTTTTATTTTTATTTGCCCTCACAGAATTCTCAACCATGGCATCAATATAAATTCGTAATAGGTAGAGTGGATCTTACATGACTATGATTCTTTCATAAAGAACAAGGTAACTTAAAATCTACAATTCTTTCATAAAGAACAAGGTAACTTTAAATTTACAAAGTTGAATTTGCAAAAAATTATGATATATTATTTATAATTGAATTGATTTAGTTATCTATTCTGCAGTACATAATATTTATAATAAAGGGACCCTAAGATGACGAAACTAAATATTAACACTAAAAACAAGTCTAAAAATAGTGAATTGATTTAATTATCTACCATACATAATATTTACTGTATAATAAAGAAAATCCTAATATGTAAGGAAACCTATTGTCAAAAAAGGTTTTAACATATGGAAATTAATACTAAAAAAAGTCTAAAACAAAAAAATAAAAAATAAAACATAGAATAAGAAAACTAAACATTAGAAACTATTAAAAATAAAAATTGGCAAAATTCCGATTTCATTTAGGTCACGAATAAAATTTTTAAAATAATCAACAGGTGTTTAAAATAGAATAATTCGATTTCAGAATTCTAGACCAAAATTTTCCGCAGAAAAACAACATAACTAGTGAATTTTTTCCAATAAATTGTTTCCACCAATATATATATATATATATATATATATATATATATATATATATTTAAAAAATTGATAACGCACTCGAATTGAAATTCTATCATACATCACTCATGACGAGAGAATCCAATTTTCTTCAAAGGGACAAAAAAAGAAAAAAAAAGACGAGAGAAAAAAAAGAAAAAGAAAAAAGATCATACGTCATGGATGACGTGTTGAAACCTAATATGAATATTAAATTGATGGTGTTTTCGTTGACAAAAACAATCAATTGTATTAATTTGAAAAGGGATGATAAAGGCTTAGACGTATGGGCTTACACGTATGTTGAATAATAAGAAGTGAACAAAATCTGATTACTAGTTGATGGGAATGGGGAGTGAATATAATAATAATAAACTCAAGTGAAAAATACCCATTGGGTATGGCCCATGTAAATATGTAATGTTGATTGTTGATATATCATCCCTTGTTGATTACCATCCTTCGTCTAGGGGAGGACCATCTAGAAAATATGATATATATATATATATATATCCATCACGTGCATAATATTAATTTCAAATATCTTATATACATTATTATGCATACATGTATGGGTTGTCGAAAAATGAAAACCAACCTTGACTTTTAAGTAAATCAAAGGTACAGAGGATAGGAGTGACGATTTGTGTTTGTAGGTGTAAGGGTATTATAAATTCACATATAATCTATTTAATAATTATATCAAAAAATATTAACATTAATTTAATTCGTTTATTAAACGGGTGACTGTGTTAATCTGTTCAATGACCTGTTTATCAAAACGAAATATTTAATATTTAATTAAATAATAAATAATTAAAAAAAATCATAAGACATAGACAAGATTTATATTGAAATAATTTAACTATTTATAATAATTGGGTTTAAATAGATAATATGTCATATTCACGATTATAACATATTGAGATAAACAAATCGTAAACGAATTAAATCCCTCAATCCTAATTCAATACGATTAAGTAAAACAGATTAATAGTATCAATCAATTTGTAATCCAAATATGATTAAGTTCGTCCTAATTTACCATTACCACTTACGGAGAAATATCACCCGCTATTTAATTGATTGAATCCAACATTAGTGTCCTTTTATAAGCTTCTGTCACTGTCAAGGTCGTCATTTATCTTCGTCACCCCCAACTTTAGATCTCCAACCAATGAATTTCGTTTCTATATTGCCGTTTATTCTTCCTCCCCTTGCCCAATCAAACTAGTATAATAATGTCTATAAGGGTATATATATACTTGTCAAACTTTTCATTTTTAGATGTTTCAAAATAATCGTTGAATTTACAATTTAATATATTATTTGTTAAAAATTTCTATTTTATCATTCTTAAGTTATAAATGTAGTACACCTACTCCCATAAAAGGGTATATTAGAAAATTGTACTCTCAAAAAAAGTTAAGTTGTCAAAAAGGTACAATTCTTGTGAGATGGAAGGAGTATATTTTGACTAAGCTGAGTCGTTATTCTGTTTCTTCTCTCACAATTCACTTGTTATTCTATAAGCTTTGTTGGTTTTGACTTTTGAAAGATAACTTCCAATTTTGGATATAAAAAAAAAAATGGAAAAGAAAAGAAAAACATAACAGAATTGAAGATTGAGTGCACTTTTGAGTTTTGACTCTCCAGGAGTAGAAATGTTCTGTTTTTTTTTTTTTTTGAAGAAATAAATAAATAAAAAAAAACTAAACAATGCTTTCCTAAGTTTTGAAGGCATAATTTTTTGCAGGGAGAAGTACAATTTTCAACCCCAATTTTTAAAATGAATCAAATACTCCCTCAACTTACAAAGGAATCAACTTTTTTAACTAATATCATCCATACCGACAACAATGTAGTCGCCCTAGTGTTGTTATTCTGCTTCGTCTTTTAAAAAAAAAAAAGAAAAAAAAAAAAAGAAAAAAGAAAAAGGCAACTTTGGATTGAAGCACTGTTGTCATTCCAAGAAGAATGGATGATAAGGAATATGTTAACATAGAGACGGTCAAAAGATAGACAGATAAAACACGCCTCCAAAATGTTAGATTTTAGCATTTCTGCTCTACCATTTTATCCAAAATACTATTGCGGCAATATGAGAAAACTTTTAAAATTCTCATATTTTAAAAGGATGTAAGCATCTCCAATGGTCTCTCAAACCCAAAATATAGCAGGTGGATAAAATTAAGGCACTCCAATAGGCTCTCTTGAAAGACCTCTCATATTTTGATATTGTCAAAAATTGCTAAAATGGAAATAAGACACTCGGGCTCTCAAAACATGAAATGGTTGTTGTGTCAAAAAATAGCATTTTGAATAAAATGCACCATTAGAGCAGAATTACAAAAATATAACATTTCGACACTGTAACTCCTCTCAAAATATAAATTTGGCAGGGAAATATAGCATTTTGCATTGGAGATGCTCACACCTTCAATATCCATGCTAAAGCTATATTTTAAGAGGAGTTTATGTGCCAAAATGTTAGATTTTAACAATTCTGCTTCACCATTCTATCCAAAATACTATTGCGGCAACCTGCTATATATGAGAAAACTTTTGAAATTCTCATATTTTAAAAGGATGTAAGCATTTCCAAAGGTCTCTCAAATAGACTCTCAAACTCAAAATATAGCAGGTGGATAAAATTAAGGCACTCCAATAGGCTCTCTTGAAAGACCTCTCATATTTTGATATTGTCAAAAATTACTAAAATGGAAATAAAACACTCCAATGGGCTCTCAAAACATGAAATGGTTGTTGTGTCAAAAAATAACATTTTGAATGAAATGCACCATTAGAGCAGAATTACAAAAATATAACATTTCGACACTGTAACTCTTCTCAAAATATAGATTTGGCATGGAAATATAGCATTTTGAGATGCTCACACCTTCAATATCCATGCTAAAGCTATATTTTAAGAAGAGTTTATGTGCCAAAATGTTAGATTTTAACAATTCTGCTCCAATCGTGCATTTTATCCAAAATGCTATTGCTATATATGAGAACATTTTTGGCAACCACCTATTTATGAGAAAACTTTTGAGATTCTCATATTTTAAAATGATGTATAACTGCCTATTGGAGTGCATCAGCCAAAAAAGCCTGCTATATTTTGAGTTTAAGAGGAACTTTAAGAGAACGATGGAGACACTCTTAACACTAGTACATGATTAAAACACAGAATCTTTTATAGGACAACACAAAACAAATGCTACTTCACAAGTACCAACTTCATCCAACCTAATTTATACTAGTACTATATCAGCACCATAATTTATAAGCATATGGGGAAAATGACTTGATTAAACTTGGGGGACTGTTGCAACTTCAATATGAAGAGAGATGATTCAAATACTTTTTGAAATTAAAATGAAACTATTATATCAAAAACATACAATCCCTCACACTATCCTCAAGATCGACCTCCTACCCTGGCTGGCTACCAGTTCCGGCAATGCCAGGGTATGCCCTACACTCGGTGGGAGGGTGGATTTATCCATACAAGAAACCTAAATCCAAATTACTAATAGACTATAGAACAAGACAAGCTTCTCTCAAAAAATGCACAGGACGAGACTAGTCATCTTCTTCACTTTCATCGCTGTATGAAACCAGACCAGTATTAGCTGCAACATGAGACTCATCACCATTGGGTTTTTTCTTCAACCCTAATAATTCTACTGCATCAAGATTAGGTGTTTTCTCCACATCCAAAGATTCTCCTGAATCTTCCAGATCAAGCTTTGCTTTCTTCGCCTGTGGCTTCACTTTTATAATCATACCTAAAGGGCGAGGTGGTGGATGCTTTCTCCCCACAATTTTTTGTTCCTGCAAAATGTTACATTAGTCAGGATCTGGCACTATCTTCATTTTAGAAACCAATTACTTGCCCTGGAATGAATTAAGACTAGAATGTATGATGATCCGCATTGGTATTAGGTTGCAGAACTTCCAACACCACCATGCCAATCCAAACCTTTGTGTAATGCATGTATTGAATAACACCACCTGGATTAACTCCAGTTCTACACTCAGCATAACAGCTAATGATCGTCAGGCGCATTAAATATCTCAATGAGGTAGCTATAAATGAGAATCTGCAATACCTCCAAAGCAAGAAACCAACTAAATCTAATTCATTTTGTGGGGTGAAGAAATAGCCACATGGTCGCCCTAACAGAAAGAAGCATGTAATGTTCGCATCACCATTGATTTCCTTGGTTATTGCGTGACTTGCATGATCATTCTGATGCAGGAAACAGAACTGTTTGTCTAATCATAAAGGCATGACGACTAACACGCCCAATGTGGACTGTGGACCTAAAGTATTCTTAGACATCTCTCCATTGGAGCATGACCATTTGGTCCCACCTATGGGGCCAGTCATGACTGTACCATACCCTTTAAAATATCCAAGGAAAACAAATATATATATATATATAGAAGGAAAACAACGCCAAATAGTCCATCAAAACTGTCAAATCTATTGATTAATTAAATTATATAAAGAGAAAAAAGGATCTCCGAGTTGTTTGTATAGAAGGTAAGAGAGAAAGGGGCTGACCAAAACTTACGTGGGATGAAGTAATTCAAAATGATTTAAAAAAACTTAAATTTAAGAGACGAGATGGGATGATGATGACGATGAAAAAAGGATCTCCAAGTAAGCAGCCAAATAATACAACCCCGTGCCTAATATGAATCTTCCAAGGGTAAATTACCATAACCTCCTGATATGTTTTGGGTAATCATCTTCAGATGCAAGTTCTGAAAAAAATGTTGGGTAAACCTCCCCTTAGGTATGATATAATTACAATCAACCCCACTCTATTAATGGACCGTTAATAACCATTAAGCAAGTTCTCAAATACCAAAATGCCCTTGAACGAAAGAATTTTACTTCTTTAAGCCTACTAACCGTAAAATTTTAAATTTAATCCTATGTTTTATGATAACATATTCAATAATTTATTCCCTAAATATTTAATTGGAATTTATATGGATATTACATGGGAATTAAATATATATCCCCTCTCAATTCTCTCTCCTCGACTACCACCTCCCTCTACCACCATCCCCTCTCTCCTCCACCACCACTACCACAACCTCTCTCTATATGTGCATTGTTTCTCACTCTAGAACATAGGAGCACCCAGGGACGGATCCAAAAAAGTGTGGGGGGGCGATCTTTAACAAAAATAGTTGAGGGGGGTAATAGTGGAGTTTTTCTTTAATTTTAGTGGGGGCAAACTCAAAATTTTGTCAAGTACATAATTCAAAAAACAGTAAAATTAGTGGGTAAAAAGAAAAAATTTTAGTGGGGGCAATTGCCCCGCTAAGCCCATCACAGGTCCGTCCTCGGGAGCACCTATGCCTCCACGTACAGTCTCCACCATCCACCGTCCACCGTCCACCGTCCACACCCCCTTCCCTTCTCTCTCAATTTGTCAAATAATATATAGCCATATTCCTTAAACATATCATGTGAGAATCATATATAAACATTCATATATACAAATTTAACTTTACTATTTCTTTCTGCTTGGTAAGATATTTTTATAATGAATAAGAAAGATATGCACAAAAGGTAGGATGCAACCCTCCCAAAGAAAGCAACAGCACCGAAGACAACCAAAAGCAAAAACCCAACAGCCCCTACAAACAAACAACAGAAAAGCTAAACAAATCTAGACCGAACAATAAGAGCAAACCTACACCCTACTTGACAAACATAACAGTAGAAATATAAAAAGAAGAAAAATGAGAGAATTGTGTAAAGGCTTGAATGAGATGAATCACTCATTCAAAGCTCCAGTATTTATAGATAAAAAGAGCACATACTCATATTACAAAAAAAACGAAACTAAATCAAATCTAAATTAAATCAAAATATATTCTAAAGCATATTCTATGGTATAATCAAATCTTTGCTAATATGGTAAGTCATTCTATAAATCATGGCTATCATATATGCTAACATATGCATAGTCGAATCTCTGCTATTATGGTAAATCATTCCATAAATCGTGGATATCATATATGCTAACACTCCCCCTCAAGTTGGTGCGTGGATATCTGAAACACCCAACTTGGACAATGTATTCTCAAACATGCTCTTGTTAACGCCCTTTGTAAGAATGTCTGCAAGCTGCTGAGAGCTTGTGACAAATGGAGTGCAAATTTGACTAGAGATGATCTTCTCTCAAATGAAGTGACAGTCCACCTCTATATGCTTACTCATGTCATGCTAAACGGGATTTGTTGCTATGCTAACGGCAGACTTGTTGTCGCAAATGGAAGCGACGTTGGAAGGCATAAGTCAGTCATTAAGGTTTTCAGCCATAACAACTCACATACCCCAAGAGCCACAGCCCTATAGTCTACCTCTGCACTAGATCGAGAGACAACATCCTGCTTCTTACTGCGCCAAGTAACCAAATTACCACCAATAGTGGTACGATAACCCGAAGTTGACCTCCTATCTGAAATTGATCCTGCATAATCAGCATCTGTCCAACCCTCAACACGTAAGTGACCATGATTGGAAAACAAAATACCACGGCCTGAACACCCTTTTAAGTAGCGAAGGATCCGAATAGCTGCATTAAGGTGAGGGGTACAAGGAGAGTGCATGAATTGACTCACGACACTCACGGCACAAGCAATGTCAGGTCGAGTCATGGATAAATAGATGAGCTTCCCCACAAGTCATTGATACTGACCAACATCTGACAACAACTCCCTCTCTAAATCAGCCAACCAATGATTCTGCTCAATCGGAGTATCAACAAGATGAGCGCCTAGCTGACCAGAAGCAGAAAGCAAGTCAAGAACATACTTGCGTTAAGAGACGAAAATGCCAGCCTTAGAGCAAGTCACCTCAATGCCCAAGAAGTACCGTAGGGGACGAAGATCCTTAATCTCAAACTGTCGGCCAAGATAGCTCTTAAACTCAGCAATTCTAGTAGTATCATTGTTGGTAAAAACAATATCATCGACATACACAATGAGAGCAATTGTCTTACCGCTTGAATGACGTAAAAATAAGGTATGACCAACTGCACTTTGATGGAAACCAAACTTGAGCATGGTAATGCCAAAGCGATCAGACCAAGCTCGAGGAGACTGCTTGAGGCCATATAGAGAACGATGAAGACAGCATACCATACCAGAATGAGCAGGAAAACGAAAGCCCGGAGGAGGAACCATGTACACCTCCTCCTGCAAATCACCATTGAGAAAGGCATTCTTGACATCTAATTGAAATAGAGGCCAAGATCGAATCGCAACAACAGAAAATAATACACGGATGGTATTCATCTTGGCAACAGGGGCAAAAGTCTCCTGATATCTATGCCATAAGTTTGAGTATAACCCTTGGCAACCAACCGAGCCTTGTAACGAGCAACTGACCCATCTGGATTATGCTTAACTATAAACACCCAACGACAATCCACATCCTTTTGTCTAATAGGAAGCGAAACCATGTCCCAAGTCTGATTTTTCTTAAGTGCTTGTAGTTCTTCTGTCATAGCATCACGCCATTGAGGTTGTGCTAGTGCATTTGCAAAACTAAAAGGAAGAGGAACCGAAGCAACAGAAACAAGAAAACTTCGATAGGAGGGTGAGAGCATAATTAGAAACAAAATTAGAAATAAGGTATGTACAAGAATGTTTACCCTTTTGAAGAGCAATGGGGCGATCATCAAGCGAAACAATAGCTTGAGAAGGCGAAGTTGGTGCCGAAGGAATAGGGCAATCGATCGTGGGAGTAGAAGCTTGTACCTGTTGTCTCCGACCATAAACCTGTGAAAAAGGAACAATTCCCCTTGCTGGAGGGGTATCACGAGGAGGAATCACAGAAGACGAAACAGGTAACGGTAGAGGAGTTGAAAACGAAAGAAGGTGATCATCCATAATATTCAATGGGAACCATTCGCTTTTAGAACCAACTGAACCACTATAGTACGGTGTATGCTCAAAAAAAGAAACATCTATGGATATAAATCGTCGACGACCGGGAGGATGGTAACACCTATAACCTTTTTGAGAGTGAGAATAGCCCAAAAACACACACTTCAAAGCCTTGGGGTCAAGCTTTGTACGAGTTTGCCCAAACTGCTGAATAAAGCACACACACCTGAAGACTCGAGGAGGAATCATAAAAAGAGATGAATTGGGATGTAAGATTGAGAGTGGTGTTGCAAAGTTAAGTACCCTAGAAGGAGTCCTATTAATAATGTAAACAGCTGTAAGAATTGCATCACCCCAAAATGACTGGGGAACATTCATGCCAATGCAGATTGCTCTGGTTAAGTTAAAGATGTGGCGATTCTTTCTCTCAGAATAGCCACATTCTATTGAGGAGTTTTAACATTAGCCATCTGATGCTTAATCCCAAATTCTGTACATAACCGTTGTACCTCCCCATAAGTGTACTCCGTACCCTGGTCAGATCTGCGTTTTTTAATTATAAGACCATATTGAGTTTGAACCATTGTCATAAAATTTTTAAAAATGGTGTATACCTCATTTTTGGTTTTCATAAGATAAACCCATTTAAAATGACTATGATCATCAATGAACAACACGAAATATAAGATAAACCCATTTAAAACGACTATGATCATCAATGAACAACACGAAATATCGAAATCCAAGACTAGAAGTAACTGGGCAAGGACCCCACACATCTGAATGAACAAGATCAAAAGGTGTTAAAGCATATTTATTACTACTAGTAGGATAATTGGAACAAACATGTTTAGCTATATGACATGTCTCACAGAATAAATCTTACACTGCAACGTTACAAAATAAGGAAGGAA